CTCAAAGAGTTAAAACTACTTCCAGTATCCGAGGCTTTTAGACTTAGAGACGGTGTTCAAATGTTTAAGTGCATGAATAATCAAGCACCGAATTACCTGATTAATATGTTTCAAAAAAGATCAGACATTCATAATTATAATACAAGGAACACCAATGACCTGAATCTAGCAAAGTGCCGCACTGCACTGGCTCAGAATTCATTTTGTTATAGAGGCGCGGTGATATGGAACTCATTGCCATCTGAGCTCCGTGATTTAGCCAGCCTGAACTGTTTTAAACGTAGTTTGAGAAGCCATCTTCTTAGAAGTTGGCTTGCTTAATTTTATAGTATATAAATAACTAGTTTATAATATTGTATAATTTCAGATATTTAACCGTGTAAATTAGGTATGAAGATCCTCTCGGGGAACCTAATAAATTTTATTGTATTGTATTGTCTCAGTCAACTTGCTGGACGCGGATATTAGGGATATACTTTATTAAAACGGGCTAACAACAGCAACAATGAAATTCTCAATCGTACCACGAAGAAGGCGATGTAGCTCAGAAAACAACGCCGGTAGGACCTGATATTTTGCCGGCCAAGCCAGTTGGCAGAACATCTTGGCTGTCAACAACAAGCTTTCGAAGACTAGTTTGGCTGTTCTTTCGGCGTCGTGTGTCCAAAATTCGTCCACGATTTTGATAAAGCCCTTTCAAAATACTGTTTGTTTGATTTATTTTCTGCCATAAAGCATAAAAGAAAAAGAAATTCGAAGAAATCGATAATGGAATGTGTACGTGCGTTTGACCTTTATATTAATTGTCGCCTTGACCGAGCTATTTTTAAAACTGTTGTTTATGTAAACTTGAAACCAATCAAAATCCTTCATGATGCTGATCAACCAATCAGATCTCCCGTCCACCAGATGGACGGGAATCCCACACTTTAGATAGGTTTTGTGTCAGGCCCTATTCTGTGATTAGGGCCTGAACTTCAGGTTAGATGTAGAACTAATACAGAACTATGCCTGCTACAAGACACTTGTCGATTTTATACAGACACTTGTATAAAAGTTCATAGTAAGCCAATCCTAATCCCTCAATTGTATCATACATGCGGAGAGACGCTAAAAAATGCTTAGTCAGCAAGTTTCGCCCGATTGTGTTTAAGCTCGCCCGCGTGACGTCATTGCATATAATTATGACGTATGTTAATGAGTGACGTCACTACGCACCCTCATTTGTATGAATATTAATTATAAATGAGGTGGTGGACACCCACCACCACACACCACCACACACCACTACACACCACCACAACCACCACCACACACCACCACAAAAATCCGGCCCGATCGGTACCTATATTACTACTGATGGTAAAAGAGAATTTATCATCGCGAAACGTTTGTGTTGGGGATGCTTGGAATGGGGCCACCTGAACAGTAAGAAAGATATGCAAGGTTTGCAGTGAAGCACACCCAACTTCTCTTCACGGAGATAATCGGAAGTGAAGATCGAAATTGGCAACGAAATCGAAAGACAATTCTTCGAAATCGAAAGACGATTCTTCGAAACCGAGACAAGAACCGAATAAAGTCAAAGACAGTTCGAATGAAGATTCAACCATATCCAACTGCATTGAAGTTTGTAAAACGAACACGTACAGTGGGTCAATCTCACATTCCCTCATTGTTCCTGTTTGGCTGCATCATAAAACCAACCCGAATCACAAAATTATGGCATACGCGCTTTTGGATGAACAGTCAGATGCGTGCTTCGTTAAGGACTCTGTCCTGGATGAAGTAGGAGTCGATGGTCCTGAAGTTAAACTCGAGATTTCAACAGTATTGGCACGAGAAACCGTAAACAGTCGAAAGATCGCTGGTTTAACAGTTCGTGGTGTTAACGAGGCGAGTGAAATTACCCTCCCTGGAACGTACGCCCGAGAGGTAATCCCAGCAAGACATGGACAGATTCCTAGACCAGAATCGGCCCGGAAATGGTCACACTTGGAGAAGATCTCTGCGTTTTTGATGCCATTCCGAAACGATGTGGTGGTTGGACTCCTCATTGGCACAAATTGCGCACGAGCGATCAAACCACGTGAAATCATACCTGGTAATGATGATGACCCTTACGCGAAAAGGGCTGCACTTGGCTGGGGAATCGTTGGCATTGTCGAAGCGAAGGTAAATGAAGAATCCGACGAGAATTACATTGTTGTGAATCGAGTCATCACACACGAAGCCAATGTTGGTCCAGACAGAAGGATTTGTCATTTGGCCTTGAGAGCACAGGTCAAGGAGATTATGAACCCGAGTATGTTTAATCAAATGTTCGAGTTAGATTTCAGTGAACGAAGGAAAGAAGAACAACCTCTTTCCTACGAAGATAAGATGTTCATTAAGAAGGTTAAGAAAGGAATCCATCAACGTGAAGATGGCCATTATGAAATACCCCTACCTTTCAAAGATGACGAAGTGAAGCAGCCCAATAACAATAGTCAGGCATTGGGCCGTCTTTCAAAGCTGAAGCAACGATTCCTGAGAGACAAGAAATATCAAACCGACTACTTGACATTTATGAATGGAATCATTGCTAGTAACTACGCCGAACTTGTTCCTCAGGAAGAGATGAAATTGGACGATGGTCGAATTTGGTATCTACCGCACCATGGTGTCTATCATCATAGAAAACCTGACAAGATAAGAGTAGTCTTTGACTGTAGTGCTGTATACAAAGGACAATCCCTAAATCAAAATCTATTACAGGGACCTGACCTTACAAACAGTCTGCTGGGTGTTCTTTGTCGTTTCCGCCAATATAACACTGCTTTCATGTGCGATCTCGAGGTTATGTTCCACCAAGTGATGGTGAATGTCAACGATCGAAATTTCCTTCGTTTCCTATGGTGGAAGGATGGTGATTTGGACAACGAACCAATTGTGTACCGAATGACAGCGCACTTATTTGGAGCAACTACGTCACCTGGTTGCGCCAACGTTCAGGGCTGCATAAAATATTTTATTTTCTGGGACCACAAAGCCAATGAAAATATTTTCTGCAAGCAAATGCTTAGTCTGCGATAGCAGACCTCCTTTTGACCACATCCCTCAGGAGTGGAAGCAAAACAGTCTGCGATCATTCAATACATTTTGTGCATAGTGACGTAACACATTCATTGCATAATTACAATGTTAGTAGTATGCGTAATTTGATGATCATGCGCCAAGAATGTAAAATCATGGAGGAATTCAGATCGAATTTCTTATTTCTTGCCTGTTGTGTTATGTAATACTGCAAGATTCAAAAGATCGATATGCTGTGAATGGAAAGAGTTCTTTCAACATTCTCGGGTCTGTAAAAAGTATACAATGGAATGGCGATGTAGCTGAAAATTTGTATGTACGTTGAACATGCCTGTTGTGTCTGAAAAAAAGATTAATATGGAACATGCACACGCTAAATGTTTGTCCTAGTTTATAATGCAGAATTATTATTTTGGAATTATTCGGTGTCGTTCACCCTTGAGAGGTTTGTAGAAACCTACCTTGGCTTTCGCGGACACTCAATCACTAATTTCCCTCGTATCATGGTATTATTTATAATAAATTCAGTTTTGTAATTAAATTACTCTATTGTTTCTATGCATATTGTCAAGTTACTTCCGGTATAAACACCTGGTGCCTGTGTTACTTGCATGTCACAAACATTACTAGTTCACTACCTACAGCTAATTAATAACTTATGTCAATTTTTCACATTTTCTTCCTTTCTGTTCTTCCATTCTTTCTTTCTTTCTCTTTACTTTTTTCTGTTGAGACTTTTATGTTTTACCCCTCCATTTTTTTCTGCCAACCTCAAAAATTTTCTGGGACCAATGGTCCCACGGTCCGCTATATTATGCAGCCCTGCCAACGTTGGTCTAAAGACGACAGCCGATGACTACGAAAGATAATGTGGTAGCCAAGCAGCCAATTTTGTGAGAGATAATTTTTATGTTGACGACGGATTAAAGTCTGTTTCCACGCCCACCGATGCTATCGATCTAATCCAGAAGGCCAAAACGCTATGCAAGAAAGGAGGCTTTCGTCTTTACAAGATAATCTCGAACAGTAAGGAAGTCATTGAAGCAATTCCCCCCGAAGAACGGGCGAAAGGCATTCAAGACCTGGATCCAACTCGTGATGCCCTTCCAATTGAGAGAGCCCTGGTAGTCCAATGGTGCGTGGAATCTGATACTCTTAAATTTCGGATTGAATTGGCTGACCGACCACCTACAAGAAGAGGCATCTTGTCAACAGTGAGTTCTGTGTTTGACCCCTTGGGAGTCCTTGCTCCGTTCGTGCTAATTGGAAAGAGAATCCTTCAAGAGTTATGTAGAGATGGAGAGAATTGGGATGACAAGATTCCAGATTATCTGTTGTCGAGATGGGAAAGATGGATAAACGACGTAGTACTCTCAGCAAAACTAAGTATCACTCGTTGCTATGTACCAGTCGACTTTGGAGAAATCAAAGTAGTGGAAATGCATAACTTCTCGGACGCAAGTCAAATTGGTTACGGACAGTGTTCCTATTTGAGGCTCGTTGATCATCTGGGTCCGATTCATTGTTCGTTGGTATTGGCGAAATCTCGAGTGGCACCGTTGAACCTTGTAACAATTCCTCGTTTAGAGCTTACTGCTGCGTTGGTGACAGCGAAAGTCGGGGTGTTATTGAAAAGGGAGTTAGAGTACGAGCAAGTCAATGAGTTCTTTTGGTCCGATAGTAAAGTCGTACTTGGGTACATTTTGAACAGTGCGCGTCGTTTCCATGTCTTCGTCGCAAACAGAATTGAACAGATTCGTGACCTCACTTCATTTGTTCAATGGAGATATGTAGAGTCGAATGAAAATCCAGCTGATTATGCTTCCCGTGGTCTTTATGCTCAAGACTTAATTGACAAGAAAGAGTGGTGGCATGGACCCGATTTTCTTTGGACCAATTTTGACACACAGAGTAGGTGTAATCGAGAACGCAGTCGCTGTTTCTTCAGATGACCCCGAAGTGAGAAAGACTACCTCACTTGTCACTGAGGTCAAGGAACTAGCAGACATTGAAGAACGTTTGCGTCGTTTTTCTAGTTGGTATCAAGCCAAGAGAGGTTTTTCGTTTTCTCTTCGTCTTAGAAAGAGCCTTACAAATCAGCTGCGTCAGAAGAGTTCGTCAGCCTCTGATGGTAACAAGCCAGAGCGGAAAGAAATCGAACATGACGGACAAACAAATCCCATTAGTAAATATTTGAAACAACTAGTGAATAAAGGCATCAAGGCTACCAGGCAAGAAAAGTTGTCCTACAAGCCAGTAAACGTTGATGAACTCCAGGATGCTGAATGCGAAATCATCAGGATTGTTCAGAACAAAGCATTCGATGATGAGATTACTTTATTACGTCATCAGGATCCCTTCCTCCGGAGATGTTCGAAACCAAGTCAGAAAAACTGTGAAAAAATCGAGTTCAATTTATCAACTAGATCCGTTCCTTGGTAAAGATGGTATTCTGCGTGTGGGTGGCCGAATCAGACGCGCAAGTATTCCTGAGAACGTTAAGCACCCATGTACCCTTCCAAGAAAAGGCCATGTGACCGAGTTAGTTATCTGTCACCATCATCAGAAGATTGCACACCAAGGACGCGGAATGACGCATAATAACATCAGATCGTCCGGATTCTGGATCATCGGTGGACGATCAGCCGTCGCCAGTCACATTTCAAAGTGCGTAAAGTGCAGAAAACTTCGTGGTTCATTGCAGGAACAGAAAATGGCAGATCTGCCAGCAGATCATCTGGACCCTGCTCCAACCGGTCGACTATTTTCGACCTTGGCTAATTAAAGAAGGACGCCGACAAGTTAAGAGATATGGAGTCTTATTCACTTGTTTGGCATCGCGAGCCATTCATTTAGAGACAGCCAACAGTCTGGATACTAGTTCCTTTTTAAACGCCTATCGTCGGTTTATTGGACGTCGGGGTCCAGTGCGGCACCTGAGATCAGATCGAGATACTAACTTTGTTGGCTGCAAGAATGAACTGAAAGAAGCACTGATGAACATTGAAATTATTGGAAGAAAATTGTGACTGGATTGAATTCCGAATGAATGTACCGCATGCGAGTCACATGGGTGGCGTCTGGGGGCGTCAAATACGGACTGTACGAAACGTTTTGACAGTTTTACTGGACAACCATGGAACCATTGTGGACGACGAGTCATTGCGAACCTTCATGGTGGAAGCCGAAGCGATTGTAAATAGCCGACCGCTTACCACTGAAAATCCAGACCACCTTGAACCTCTAACTCCTAACCACTTGCTGACGATGAAGAGCAAAGTCATTCTACCTCCTCCTGGAAACTTTCAGGGTGCAGACACTTATTCGAGAAAAAGATGGCGTCGGGTTCAGTATCTGATTAACGAGTTTTGGTACCGTTGGAGAAACGAATTTATTCAATCCTTACAAGTACGGCAAAAATGGATGCGTCCCCGAAAGAATCTTAAGATTGGAGATGTGGTCATTGTCAAGGATATAGATACGCCTTGCAACCGATGGGAGCTCGCAAGAATTGTAGAGACATATCCCGAGAATGACGGACTCGTTCGAAAGGTCAAAATCGCCTTAGCTGACAGTACTTTAGACGACCAAAGAAGACGAAAACGACCTATTTCCTATTTAGATCGACCTGTTCAGAAATTGGTTCTCCTCCTGTCCAGAGATGAGTATGAAGACCGGGGAGTCCCCGACGAGGAGCCATGTGTAAAGCCAGGATCATACATACATACATTTAAAACTTTATTTAAACCACGCTAGCCTCAACAGCCGTTGGAAGGCTGGTTTCCATGAGGGGCGTGAAATTACCTATTTACAAGAAGTTAACTATATACAAGAAATACAAAATATAACAAAGTAAAAAAATACAAGTGATTTTAGCTGCACGATTACACACAAGCAAATTTCAACTCATTCTTTGTTTCAATATCGACTTGAAATTAGGGATTCAGCAATTTTTGCCTCATGGGGAAGATTATTCCAATGCAAGGCACCATTATAACTGAAGCACCTCTTGCCGAATTCTTTTTTCGGCATAGGTGGTGCTAAATCAGTATCCCTATTTCTAAGATTGTAAGTATTATGTCTTTCATTATTAAAATGAAATGCTTCTTTAAGATTGGGTGCGGTGTGGCCATTCAAAATTTTATAGACGAAAGTAGATTTAAGATAATTTCGTCTTTCTTCTAGAGGTTTCCAATATAGATTATTGACTACTCAGATGACCGAATATCGTAAGTTGCCCCAGTAATTACTCTTGCAGCACGATTTTGGTATTTTTGCAACTTATCTTTGAGCCCAATTCCACAATTATCCCACAACGGGCTGCAATAATCGAAATAAGGCTGTATAATAGCATTATATAGCATTTTGGTTGTCGACAGTGGTACAAAAGGTTTAACACGTCTCATTGCACCAATACAGGCACCAACTTTAGAACAGATTGAGTCAATATGTTTATCCCAAGACAACCTTTCGTCCATAGTCACGCCAAGGCATGAATATTTATTAATCCTGGGTACTAGCTTATTATTAATTAAAATAGGATTACCAGATACTTTATTCTTAAGGTCATAGGGAGATCCAATGAACATATGTTTCGATTTACTGGCGTGGATTTCAAGTTTATTGTGTATCATCCATTTGCGTATGTTTTCGAGATCAATATTTACCCTGTCGACAAGGTCGGCGCAGTCATTAGAAGGTGCATAAATTTCCGGGTCATCAGCATAGAGTGAAGGAGTTAAGTGACTTAACGAGTCAGGCATATCATTTATGTATAATAAAAATAATAGAGGACCAAGGATGGACCCCTGTGGAACTCCGCATATTATCTTTTTTGGGCTCGATAGTTGTCCGTTTATAAGACATTGTTGAACTCTGTTATTCAGGTATGATTCGAACCATCTTAGTCGGTTTCCTGTTACTCCGAAAAAATTACACATTTTATCAATCAGAATTTCATGATTTATGGAGTCGAAGGCTTTTCTAACATCAAGCAAGACTATACAATTTATTTGACCACTATCCATGTTTTTAAGTAAATTATGCGACACATTTGTATCAACGCAGACAGGGTTGAGTGTTTAGGTCTAAACCCTGATTGGAATTTAGAAAGTAATGAGTTATTGGAAAGATAGCCATAAAGCTGTCGAAAAACCTCTCTCTCAAAAACTTTACTTACAATGGGGAGTATGGAAATTGGCCTATAATTTTCACATTTCCGTCGATCTTCAGATTTGTATATTGGAATTACTCGCGTGCGTTTCCAGTCATCAACATAAATACCAGTGTCAAGTGATAAATTAAATATATATGTTAATGACGGGGCAATAATATCCGCAGAGAGTCTGAGAACATTGGCTGGAATTTTATCAAGGCCAGTAGATTTGTTTATCTTAAGGTTCATTAATGCCAGGAAAACGTTTTCTACATTAATACAATGGAAAAGGAATGTCGTATCTGTTGGGGGATTGGAATTATTGTAGCTATTCGTAGTGTGTTGAGTAAAAGGCTCTTCACCAGCTTCAGGCTCTTCACTCTTCACTATAACACTTCACGTTATATTTGCTATACGGCAGAATACGTTAAACAACCGTGGTTCAGGAGTCTTTTAAAAGATAAAAGCTCTGTGCACGTTGTGACTGACTGTTGTCTAAAATAGCTTCAAAAACTCAATAATTCATGAGGAAAACACAAAGAAAAATCATAAGCGTGTCGTATCCTTGATATGTGATAGAGATTTCCCTTGATTTACATACATTTTAATGATTTTCTCTACACATACACACCGAATTTTTTAAAGCTACTTCGCCAATGAACGCATACTAGATCGATCGTTTTTGAAGCAATTTAAAACATTCGCAGTGCGTGTTTTATTAGACCATCTTTATATCTGATAAAACACTGCTGCTCGTGTTTTAAATAGTGCTTCAAACACTCATTAATAATTCATAAGCTTATTGGCAAATCATGTCAACCATAATATGTCACGTGCAGTGGCTTTAAACCTGATAAAACACTCCGAATTAGTATTCTTTATATAAAGAATACTAATAAGGCGTATCTATTGTAGTCGTGTCCTCATTAGTATTCTTTATATAAAGAAAACTAATAGGCAGCATATCTATTGAATATGTAGTCGTGTTTGAAGCCGTTTAATAAACTCGCAGGTCGTGTTTTATTATGTCTAAAGCCACTCGCGCTGCGCGCTCGTGTCTTTAAACATAATAAAACACTCCTGCTAGTTTATTAAACAGTACATAAAATCTCTGCAAATATCCGTAGTTGCCGAGCAAAAAGCATGCATGATGCTAAATATAAATCTCGACTATGATTGGATTTGCCATCCTTAATGGGCGAAAACAAATTTGTCATAGCCATTTGGGCAGGCGTTCCCTCTGTACCCGCCCGTCAGCTAAACGCCTGCTACGCAGGCTAAGGTTAATGTCACTAATATTCTTAGACACAAAGTCAAGTGTGGTCACTTCTAGAGTAATAACCTGGAATGACTCACAGTTAATAACACTATTAATAATGGATAAATATAATGCACAAGAGCCAAGGACTGTTAATACTATTAACAATGGAAATATAACATTATTATGTATACCATAACAACACTATTCGAAGTGCAATTATGCGTAACATTGGCTATAAAACAATGGGATCTCAATAGTTCAGGGTCATTTTGTTAAACGCGGCGCCTGTGTGTGTTAGTCGGAAAGAAATAGCTGTGTATACGTGTGTGTATATATAGGTAGGAAGCAGCAATATTGTGTCACAGATTCTGTTTTAGCGCTTTTCCCCACCCGTTCCCTCCCCAAGGAACGTTTACTCCCTCGCTCCTCGGCTTACGGGCTCGCATTTCCCAAAACTATCTACCTGTAAGCCAATGGGAGCACGAGGGCAGTTAGAATAGGCGACTGACCCGGGTATACCTAGGCCTGTTTGTAGTGCTTTGAGATGCCTTGTGTTGCTAAGATTTCGCATCGGGATTCTTTGCAGAGCGCAGATGTTCATTGAACCTCACAGCGAATGATCGGCTGGTTTCTCCCACGTAAATTCACGGTTCTTGTCACATACACCGCATATTATGGAATAGACCAAATCCTTCAGGAAGCACATATTCTTCTTGTCGCGAACTTGACAAAACGTACATTTCGCAACAGCTCGGAAATGACAATCATACTTACGAGATTGGTTCGGTGTCACAGGAGATTCGCCCCCCTCAGGAGATTCGCCCCCCCCCCTTCGCCTCGCCCGGGGCGAATCTCCTAGGAATATCGCCCCCCAGGGGGGCGAATTTCCTAGGAATATCGCCCCCCTTTAGGAATTTCGCCCCCCCATATAAATTTTTGATCTAAAAACAAAACGATTGCAAGTTGAAAAGACTTATTGTGTGATTTATTTATTTATTACAAGGAGACAAAATTACATACACATTTTAGGCTTCTTAGCAGCTGGTGGTGTGCACAGTCTGCATAACCACTCATTTGAGGCACTTAGACTAGTGTCATATTCTACACATCTAAAGTGGACCATCACAGAGATCGCATAAAATCATATTGTCGTATTCTTCTGGCAGTTTACATTCACACATAACATATTATAAAAACAATCGCTTGCAAATTTTATCAATATGAGTGTTAACAATAGCCGCCACAGTAATCACTTGCTAACAATAAACTATAGGATTAGTAAAAAATCCATGGAATTTGTTGGGAAGCGTATTGACTATTGTCCGTTGAATCGTCAACTTTCTGTGTCAGTGATGTAATCTTGATTCTTCACTTCCGCAAAGAAAATTGCATTGTATATGTGGTGTGGTTTATTGAAATAATTTCATGATACTTTGATTTTATTAGTGCATGCCTTAAACATTTGAGAATGTAACTCTGCAAAACTAAAAGCTTTCTTGTCTTTTTTGCTTTTTTGAAACGTACATTATTGGATTATTGCCTATTGCCAAGTTCTACCCTTCGCTTCTGAGTTTACAAACTATATTGAAATAATGCAAGTAAAAAATAGTGACAAACCATACATTTTCCGATAACGACAAAACGTGGATGCAAAACAATACCAATAATTACAATAACCACCACGGTGATTACTTTTTAACAATGAGTTTATTGGATTAACACTGAAAATGCAAAATATGCATGGTGTGCTGTGAAGCGCCATCAGTCCTATTGATCTACTGTAACTGTGTAAGCCCTTTCGATACATGTAATTGTAAATGTGTATTCTTACATGCAGGGCTTGAAATAATAAACGTTCCCAAAGTTCACGATCATGGTGATCGGCAGTCAAGACTTTCCCTGCTTTTTTCAGGTTGGAAACCGAAACCCTGCTTTTCCGCCGATCATAAGCAATTCCTTGCCGATCGGTGATCGGTTATTTCAAGCTCTGTCTTAACAAATTTGAATTGATACTGATTTCAAATGATTAAAGCCATGTAATAATTATCCCATGCAACTGTTAGGAAGGGCGAAATATTGAACGGAGGACGAAAATCCTAAAGAAAAGGTGAAGTTTCTAAAGGGGGGCGAAATTCCTAGGATTTTCGCCCCCCTGGGGGGGCGATATTCCTAGGAATTTCGCCCCCCGGGGGGCGAAAATGTAGGGGGGGCGAAAATCCTGGGACACCTGTCTTAAACGTGACACATTTGGACACAAGCCAAATACACATTGAATGTCCATTCTATTGATTCTAAAACTGTTTATAGACATATTGCTCTAGATTTTTTTAAAAGGTTATCATCGTTTATATTAAACACCGAGGGTTTTAATATTTACAATATTAAAAAGAAAATAAACAAAAATACAGAGATAGAGATGCATTCGCTCTACTTTATTCCTTTCGTTCCAAATTTTAGCA